CCACTCGCTGGCTTGCTTTAGTCTCGCGGTGCGTATACACTTTTATATCACACTCAGTGGAAAGTTCGTTGCATTGAGAGGGAGAGAGATAGAAGGAAAACAAGCCATTCATTGTGTGGTTATAGGTTATATCACAAGAGTTTTTATAATTGTTTCCGATTGTGATATTTAGGATATTCNTGCATTACTGACATTAGAGCATGTAATTTTAAGAGCTTCTCCTTCATTTATCTCCAATGTAGTCGAGTTGGGATGAAGTTGGGGTTTGTGCCCAATGCAACCTATTGTGTTTAAATAAAAATTGTTCACGCCAGATAGTATTAGGTGCCTGCTCTTTTTTCATCTTTTTTTTAGACGAAACAGGCTTAAGTAGAAAAAATATAGTTTTATATTTTGAGTAATACATTCAAAATGTTGATTTAATTATCTCTTAAGTGCTTTTAAGTACATCAAATTAGGTTAAGAAAATCTAACCTTCAACTGACTAAATGGTCTTGTAGTAGTTTTCGTCGGGTAAGAGTCATCGTCTCCGGGGCTATTTTGTGGCCCGAGGGACATAAGATAGCCACGGAGCGATGGTACTTATGTCGCGAATCCTATTTTTCCTACCGAGAGCCCACCTGACCCTCAAAAACGCCCGAGGTCAGAAAAAAAATTGTATAATTTTAATGAAGTTACAGTAGAGGTTAAATTTATTTAATTTTTTTTTAATGCATTATGTACGTACCTAAACTTAGTCCAAGTAAAACAAGTAGTGTTGACCACATAATCACTGCCATTTTATAATGCCACTATGTCACGTTTATTCTTGTAAGCTGTTTTATAGGCAACTTTTTATTAACCTAGAGTTAAGGAATTAGATTTAGAGAAAGCACGTGTATTTCATTTTGAGGTTAATTTTCCTCGTGTTGCAACGTGTCAATAACTTGAGTGTTAATATTTTGTGATGGTGATTTTCTGTAGGTGCAAAGTGCGTGCAAACATAATTTTTGAACCCGGCCCGTATAAAAGATTGCTTCGTGATCCTGAAGGTGCTGTTAACACTGATTTGCAACGTGCATCTTTAAATAAACTTGGTGTCATAGCAAAAAAAGAGAAAATTTAATGGATACTGATTAGTTTTACGATTTAATGAGATCTGCAAACAAAGAGCGAAGAGTACTCTTATATACCATTTTTCATCATCTTCAGAAGAAACATGAGTCACCTTTTCAAATACTTTGACTGGTCCTGCTGGGTGTGGTAAAACATTTGTTATCAAACTAATTATGGAATTATACAATAGGTTCACTAACACCGATGGTTATTGCAATGCTTACATAACCTGCGCTTTTACTGGTAAAGCTGCTGTAGCAATTGATGGTACAACCATTCACACTGCTCTCACAATTTCTCTTTCAAATCTATTACCGTTATCATCAGAACTTTTACAATTATATAGATGTATTTTTAAATACGTTAAAGTATTAATCATTGATAAAATAAGCATGGTTAGTGCAGAACTCTTAGTTAAGATTGATATACGTCTAAAACAAATTCCTGGAAATCATAAAGATGGTTTTGGAAACATTGACGTTATTTTTATTGGCGATTTACGTCAACTCCCACTGAGGCTTCTACTGTAAGTTTAGTACAAGAATTTCAAAGGCTCTCTTTAAATTCTCTAGAGACTAAAGCTCAAATGATTACCAATTTCATTTCTGGTAAAAGAAATATGTCTATATTATGTTTTAATATTTAAAGTCTAAGGAAATGTTTACTTGATTTGAACGACACAGTCACTAGAAAATGTAATGTTTTAATGTTGACTGAAACATGGATGGACAATAATCAACAAATCGATATACCACAATTTAACTGTATCATCCATTTTAAACGTGACAACGCACGGTCAGTGAGAGTTGCAATATATCATAATATTGATGATACAGTGAATATTGTTGGTCCAAATATGGATATGACTGTACAAAATACCCATGAATTAAATGTTCGAACAACAGATATTGCAGACATTTGTTCAGCCACATCTACAATTGAAAATGGCCAACAAATAGTAATAGTAGCCATATATATTTCACCTAATCAAAAAATAGAAGATATAATTGATACAATTCACAAAACACTACTGGAGTATACTGAAAGAGGTGCACAATTGCTTAGCAAAGATTTTGATAAACTTTCACTTATTTTAGCTGGTGATTTTAACATAAACTTTGCTGATAAAAATTCCGAGCCGTTGACCAATTTCCTCTTCCAAAAATTAAACTTAACCATGAATAATGATCCTGAAAAACATACAACAAGTTGTGGGACCACAATAGATGCCGTTTTTCTCGATATCTAAATAAAATACAGTCAGAAACATACGTATCTTATTTTAGTTACCATAAACCAATAGTTTCTATTGTAGAATGTGATTAACTTTTATATTTAGTTAATTATTTGTAATATCATCATATATACATAAATATATCAACATATGCACAATTGTTTTATTTTTATATTATAGCAATAAAAATATTTTACATTCAATTTCNTTTTTTTTTATTTTGATTTTTTACGTAACGTACGGATTAAGTCCTTCGTTGATTTCTAAGAGTGATGTGATAATTAAAATCCTGTGCCTTTTTGATTTTGTTTCTTAACAAAATAAAATTTCTGACAGTCCTGTTTTCTTCAACCCGAATCTTAGTTAGCATTTTCTTGATGACAATTTTAAGTTAATGCTTTCTTTGACCGAGATGTCTATATATGAATAACATCATGCAATATTTTTAAGGCATTGAACTTAAAAAATAATCAAACTAGACTCACTGAAATTTTAATTGATAACTACAGTTACCTTAAGGAGGTAGCGCACCAACTACGTTAGTCAAGGCGCGCCTATTATTAAATTTTTTTAACTTAACGAAGGGATTGGTGAGAGAAGTGCAACAGGGAGGGCGCCAAATCCCCATAATATGTTTTATGGACAATTTAAAATAATTTTATAGTTAACAAATTAATTAGTATCTAAGTATAGAAAAAATTAAATTGCTAATTTAAAAAATTTTAATCCAAGAATCAAAATACGTACCTAAACTTAGTCCAAGTAAAACAAGTAGTGTTGACCACATAATCACTGCCATTTTATAATGCCACTATGTCACGTTTATTCTTGTAAGCTGTTTTATAGGCAATTTTTTATTAACCTAGAGTTAAAGAATTAGATTTAGAGAAATATGCAAGTNTTTAAAATAATTTTATAGTTAACAAATTAATTAGTATCTAAGTATAGAAAAAATTAAATTGCTAATTTAAAAAATTTTAATCCAAGAATCAAAATCATTTTTTAATTTTTTGGTATCAAAATCAGTTGAACCCTTGTAAATTTAAAATTATGGAAAACTATTTATGTAAGACAATTTTCTTGCTTTGGGGCGTTTTTCGCAACATTTGGACATTTACTGTAGGTATAAAGAAAAATAACTTGATAAAATAATTTTTGCTACATGAACGCCATCTAATCGAGGCCCTACTTCGCACTTCGCAGCGGGTCTCAAAAAATAGCCCCATTGCCGAAAAACTACCATTTTTTGTTTTTGAAAGATTTTAAAGACACCAATAAAATTAGTTGTCAAGATGATCCAATTTTTCCTTTAAGACAAGATTCTTAAGACAAAAAAAAAAAAAAGAGAAAAAAGAGAAAGAAGCCAATCCCAAAAGCGTAAAAAATGCTAAATTATTGAAATTATTTATTTTAGCTACTTAATGTTTAGAAAAAACTGCAATTAAAAGAAAAAAAGGAGGATACTCCCACCTTTATTTTTCATTTGTTTTTCGATTACTCAACTGATTTATGTAACTAATTTAAACGGACAATATGGCAGCTGTTAAACACTTATTTTACTTATAACTCGAACCTTAAACCTCAAATTGAACTATCTTTATTTTCAATAACGAGAGCCTTCCTTTTACTGGCTGACCTGTGCTAGCTGCCAATATTTATATTTACTAATACTGTTTATGCGGAATATATGTATTTACAATTTTTAATAAAAATTTAATTGTTTCATTCTTAACAAAATAAAATTTGTTTGTTTATTGAAATGTAAATCTACTAAGAATTTTTGTCTTCAGATGCATTGTATGAAACTTTGCGCGTACTTTACTTATTTATATAATAAGCACCCGCTGATACATCAAGATTTTGTATGACCAATTTTTTATTCGTGTTTCTGAACTAATCCTTCGAGAGTATTTAGTATCCGCGACGACATTGTGACTGGCCAATGTAGAATATGGGGTAGCAAAAGAATCGACGGTGTTCTATAGTTCACTCCGAAATACAAAACCATCAATCTATTTTCCCAAAAAAATGATTACTTGGCTAAATTAAACCATTTATCTCTTAACAATTCATGAGTGCAGAAGTCGGCTTCATCACTAAAACGTCTCGTACTTTGTCAAACATTTTTTTGCTCTCAATTAAAAGAAAAGATGTTTGGTACTTTAGACTTTCAGATACTGCAGAGAGTTAAAAATGTAATGCCTAGACGCTATAAGCCATTAATCATAAAATTTATAAATGCTTCGCATTACAATGACATCTTGGTTTATTTTTTACAACTTCTGGCCACCCAAAAAATTATTTCGACTTCATTTCGAAAATGAATTTAGCAAAGATTGGTTTTCACCTTTTAAAAAAGTTTTTACTCGGAATCATTAATTTCGCTGTGTTTCAACATATAGGCTTTATGGAACATTACGGTTTATGTAATGACCCACATACAAATACATAGTGTGCTCGACTTTTTCTAATACCTGATACCATACAGAGAATCAACGATTTCAATCTTGGATTTTCGAAAATATAGGATACTTGATTGATTATGTAAATAAACTTTTTGATTTTTTAAATTGCTTTATTTATTGTAAACTATCCATCGTAAAAAAGCATAAAAAACGAATGTTAAGAACTGTACATATTTCCTAAAAAGTATATGTTTCCTAAATGCGAGTTACATAACTAGGGTAAATTTTATTAACATTAAATAGAAGTTGAGTATTATAGAGCCAAAACTGCATCAAAATTTATCAATCAGCTGAAGAATGTGCTGCTGTTGTGTTTCTTTCCATTCGACGTCTCCTTCGTCACCCAAATTACCAGCGTATTCTAAATAATTTTAAAAATGTTTCATAAAATAATAGTCTTAAATTCATTGAGCTCAAAATGTGTATGGAGTAAAAAGTTTTCAGTCTGACATATTAGTTTTTATGGTTTAGAGAAAAATTTGCAAAGTCGCTGATGATGCAACTTCTTAACTACATATCAAAGTTATTTCCGAAGAGCCGTGTTCACGAAATTTATCCAGCTTACAAAGTAATTCAACGTATAAACGTTTGTTATTAGATAAAGTATTTTTTTTTTGGTGGAAATATCAAAATTTTTTTTTTCATCGCGTTACTTATTGTCAGTATTGGAACTTTTTACCCTACTGTGTAAATTTAAAGAGACGTTGATAAATACCTCGCACTATATTTTTAATCGTTTTTAACGAAGCTCGCCTTTGCGTTAAAATTCTAGTAACTCGCTGTTTCACAGCTGGAGGGCAGCCAATGCATGCTTCTACCAATATATAATCGACTAATTGCAGTGTGAACAAACCGCCGTTCAGTCTTTTTAACAATGTTTCTTCTTCATCGTCGTCTTCCTGCAAATCATAACCAAATCTTAAATCTTTTCGAATCCACGCAATTGATTTTACGTGTTTGAAAAATTTACCCTGGCATTTTTTTCCACCTCCTCCACTTTTTCAAGATATTTAAAATGAAGTTCCATTAGCCTATCGATTTTTTCAAAATCATTTTCCGTGAACTTACTGAACAGCCTGAGCCTCTGTTGGCCCTTGCAATTTCTTAACATACTAGCTATAATTGATACGACATGTTCTAAAATAATACAGAATATTAATGCCGAGCTTTATCTGGTACATTGAGAAAAAAAAAAGAAATTTGGTGCATTCAAGTACCTTCATGCTCTTCCGCTGTGACCAACTTTTTCCTATTTTTTGTTGGTGTTTTCATAAATACAGGAAATATTGTTCTTAGACCAAGAATGTCTACGAATTTACTGCAATTGTCTTTACCATCAGGACCATTCATGGCGTAATCAAGAACCTAAAAGAGTATATAGCATGTAGAATTTGAAAAATAAGACATTCTTCACTTCAATCCGTTAGTAGTGCTTGTACGATTCTACAGCCATCTACTGACAGGTGGAACAAACTCTTTATTTATATTACCTTTAAAGAGCCATTCCTGGACATTTTTTTTTCACGAAGCATAAGATTCATAAGCTGAAGACCTTCACCCTTTAGGAATTTTTCTTTATTTGCAGCTTCCATTAAACTGGAGCATAAAATATCAAACAGATTTTCCATAAGTTCTTGTTCCTCGGCTGTTTGTGGATCGTGTCTTTTGTAATACTAAAACACGAAAACAAAAATCAATCACCAATTCACATTTAGTTTGTTTCTTTATGCGGATGAATAAAAACTTGAAAATCCCACAGCCAACTGTTGTAGAAGAACATCAATTCCATCAATTTCTCCTAACAAGAGTCTGTTCTCTTTAGTGTTTTGAAGAAGAATGGATAGAATTTCACTGGCATACAATTTGTTGCTATTAAAGGGAGCCTTTACTTTTATTCTCTTGAGCAACCATTGTATCAAACCTTGTTTGCCAGCTTCCACGCACAACTCTGGTTTTGTTTCAAGCAAATTTTCAAAAATAGCTGAAATGTAATTCAAATTCTGTAAATAACTCCACCTTGCTACAGCATCACAATTTAAAATCATTAACAAATCTTATTACCTAATGTATTAAAAATACCATCACTTTCTTCACTGATATTTTCATCCAGTCTATCCATATTCTGCACAAGAAGGGCAAAGACTTGCTGGTTCAACAGCGCATCTATCAAAGAAGTAGCTTCCTCTGGCGCCTCATTATACACATCCGATTCTGTAAGCTCTTGCAGCAAATCCACCACTCCTACAGCGATGTCCGTGTTCTCATGAGACAACAATTCCAGCAAAGAGGGTACAACGTTCAGTTCAACCATCTGGGGATACAGCTCTGGATTGGTGGCCACGGCGTGCAATTTCTGCAACTCATCGTGCAGTTCTACTTCCGATTCCATAAACTTGTCTGGTTGGTCAGGAAACTTGACCCTCATCTCCTGATTCCTCAGTGCTCTTTTTTCAAACAGCAACACCATTCGCTTGAGATTTGTCTCATCCAAGGGCTCAACTTCTGCGGCCTCTGTTTCTACGTACTTAATGATGTCCTCTTTTTGCTCTTCGCTCAACTGAGGCTCAAGGACATCGTTATCGGGATCTGGCAGGTGAGCCCGTAGCGGAGTTGGTGGCTCGTTTACTCTAACCGGAGTGCCTCTGACAGGTGTACTCCTGATAGGTGTGCCCCGGATGGGTGTACCCCTGATAGGTGTGGAGTCAGACTTTGAGCCGTGCTTTTTACGGGAATGGTATGGCGTTCGCATGACTTTTTTGGATCTAACATCGTACTCGTCTTCGTCATCTTCTTCCCCAGGAGCAGAGCGTTTTGGAGTGTTTGGGGGCTGAATAAAAAAAAACAATAAATCAGAAAAGGTTTCGACAATCATGTGTAGACATCAATAATAAATAACATGTTAAAATAAGTAGTTTTCAATTGACTGGGATAAAGGTGAGAATAAATTTTGTAAAAAAAAATGATGACAAACTAACCTTGTAAGAAAGCAATTCTCCAATATCCATGGTTCCACGGTTTTTTTACAGTTTTAAAGGTAGAAAAAAAAAATTTTTTTCCTACAACTCAACAGCTAATCATCCTCAATCTCAACAAAGATAACTCACTGAATAAATTAATAATGTGTACACACAGTATATTTATGTTCCAAATTCCAAGACAGTAGTTGCTCATTTGAAAACAACTTGCACTCCCATCGCAAACGAATACACATTCAGCGTGGCTGTGGCGTGCAGGCCAAACACGATGAAATACCCGCCTAGCGGCAAATTTAAACGTTCTAAAACAAATCAACGTTCAGGCTCTTAAGGAGGTTAGATACAATCTTTCAGAGGGGAGGTGAAGCGGGGTCAAGGGTGTGGGAAGCTCACAGCATTACCGACAGAACGTAATACAGCATATTCTTATGGAATACATGCATCCATCTTATAAACCTAACCAAAATTATCATTTTTATTTCAAAAAATCGTGATTTTCTCTTTAATTCGTATGGATACTGACAAAAATCAGAGGATAATATGAATCTGCAGTATTTGAAGTATCAAAATATATTTTTTATCGATTTTTTAACTATTACTAAGCAATGTCATTTTTAGGTCACAACATTGTTCCCATAACAGCCGGTGTTAAATTGTTCATTTTTTATTTTGAAATATCTTAATAACTACATGGCTGAGATCGCCCAAAAAAAGTACGGTTGTTTTTTATAACACATAGAATGAATCAAAAATTAAATTAGAGCCCCCAACTATTGTCGATATGATATGTATCCAACCTCCTTAACCCTTTACCTCAAGTGCTTTAACCCTATAACCCTGTACTCTTCAGCACTTAAACAAAATAAATCTGGGTATGGAGTTTAATTAGTTAATAATTACGTTTTCTTATCAACTATAAAAAAGTTACTTATTTTAAGACAAGCAAATAACTTGTACACCATTTTTATGGTTCACTTTTAAAAAATTGTTGTTTAAGACCCTTCAAAGCAAAAAAAAAAAAATTGAAAAAATTGATCAAAACACTCGATTTTGGCTTATTACCTATATAATAACTACAAAACGGCAAAGTGTAATCTTCTAAAAGTTTTTTCTATTTTTGTCTCTTACAGTATTTAAAAGAGGTTATTTATTTTGTGCCAAAATTTTGTCAGAGTAGCCCTGATGGAAATGAAAAATCCTTATTGAAATAATTTCCATAAAATTTTCGAGTCTCGCATATTAGTGAACTAGGTAATTCTCACCTAAAAGTTTGTTAAATATCTTCTGTACGTGTAGTATAGATAGAGCTTAATTTTTATTTTTTGCTTGAAAGTTATTTTAAATTATTGAAAGATAAAAATTTGTAATTTTTAAAAGAATACATTAGAATTTTTTCAATTCGCCTGATAACACTTTAATTTTGGTGCAGTAGTGTGACTGTCGACCGGTACTTTACTAGGAGAAACATACTAGATTTTAAAAGTCAAGCTCATCACCCATGTCCATGTCAAATTAAATTTTTTTTAAATTAAATATATAAAAAATGATTTGAAACATCGTGTAGTGTATTTTTTACGGTACATAAACATACAAAAAACATCTATCGGAGAAACATATTTGTGATAAATGTCCTCTCAAACCCCATAATTCTCTATGCAATTCCAACGTAATTAACTGATGGGTTCAGTTATATCAGTTGATTTTAATAAACTACTAAGCACTCTAATTCATTAAAACTTTTATGCAAAAAATACTAACAATTTTGAGTGTCACAACTTAAAAACTTTTACAACTACTGAAATTGTATTGTATAAGAATAAATAACTTATAAGTTCAGTGAACTATTTTAAAAGAGTGATCTTAAAAAATGCAAGTCACTAAAGTATTAGTTTGCCATAATTTTATAGATATATTCTTATTAAAAGAAAATCGAATCATGATCTACTTTGTCCTATAGATCATTTTCTGAGGTAAAAGCACTTGGAGTAAAAGGCTGCAGGCTTAAAAGCTTAACAATGAGAAATTGTATTTGTTAATAATTTTTACTGATATGATAACCAAGTTATTTCAATAATTAATACTCTTTTTCAACCCACAAAGATCATTCCAATGATTTACAAGTTATTTATTTTTTTTGTAATAAGTAGCGCTTTTATTGTTAACAAAAAAATGAAATTATCAACCAATTGAACTCTACATCCCGGGTCATTTAGTTTAAGTGCTAAAGAGTACTGGGTTATGGGGTTTAAAGCACTTGGGGTAAAAAGTCAGGAGCTTAAGAGATTTGGAGTGGAAGATTATGTTTGTTAATAATTTTTATTTATAAGCTAACTGAGTTATTTAAGTTATTAACAGTTTTATTGAACCTACGAATACCATTGAAATGATTTACAAGTTATTACCTTTTTTTGTGATAAGTAGTGCTTTTATTATCGAAAAAACGCTTACTTTAGCGAGATTCGAAAGCCGCGATTAGAGTTCAGTATCATGTCTAGTATAATAGTGTCTGTTCATTTCACTGTCATTTTTTTTACGGAAATCGTTGTTTTCGCATTAAAAACGCGCTGGTAAGATTTATGAAATATTGAATAATAAGCGCAACATGTGACGGTTAAGAGCCTAATGTATGTACTTATTTATTAAAATATAATTATTATGCAATGATATTACACGTGTTTTTATGTCAAAACGCAAAACTAAAGAATGGATATCCATTTAAATTGATGGGAAAATTTACATTCTGGAATAAGTTACACGGCTTGAAAAGAAAAAAAAACAGATAATAAAGTGACGGTAACCATATAAAATGTGTTAATGTTTTACTATGTTATGGTTTATTTAAAAATAATCGAAGTTAAAAATTTTATGCTGAATAATAATATAACATTTTTTTTTCAAATAANGGATAAGTGCCATCGTCTCCAGGGCTATTTGCGGCCCGAGGGACGTAAGATAAGTACGATGATATATTCAATAGTCGTTTTTTTAGTACGTAATACAAAAAAAAGTATGTTGAACACAAAAGGATTTTTCAAGAGATAACAAAATAATGAATAAATATATGAAAGGCTGTTTAAACGAATTACAACTGAAACAAAATAATTGTATAATAAATGGACAGATTACAATATGTAAGTTGATTAATGTCGGAAAATTATATTAAATTAAAGCAGTAGACGTACGTTTTTCTTGATTTCTCAAAATTTTCACTCCTTTTATGAATAAATAAAAAAAGTGAGGAATTTGGTTTGGAAAAACGTAAATAAAAAGCAGGACACTGGTTTTTAACAGGAATGTAAAAATAAAAACAAAAAATATGTACGCACCAGCAAGTCATTCACCACGTCCTACTTACCTTACTTACCTGTAGGTACGGATTGGTGAGCTACTACAACGTAGCAAACTATTCAAACCGAATCCGACCACGTGGGTGACTCTAGACTTACGTCATGAGCCGGTGAGCACACATCTCTGAACGACTGCTCACAATTTGGTCTATATATACTAACCAGACTCTATTTTCGCCACATGCGGGAGTAAATCATGCCGCCACGCGGTCGGAGATGCAGTTACACCATCATGCCAGCATTTACAATGCTGCAGTGTCCATCTGTTATCGATAACCAAGTACTTTAACCCCATAACCCTGTACTCTT